GGGTGTCGAGGTCGATGGGGATTCGCTAGCCATGAAGGATATAGGAGCATGAGATATGATTAGTAGTACAGTCGACACCCTCCTAACCCATACCCCTGGTAACCCATAAACTCCCGAAACCCATAAGATTTTGGCTTTCCCAAGTCGGGATAGGGGGAATTCGACCCCATAACCCATAGGCCCCTGGTACCCAATAACCCATAGCTTTCTAGGGCCCAAAACCCATACGGTAATAGGGCTCACATTGAGATTACGCTCATCGATAACCTTTGCAATACTCGATGCATGCTTCCCAGAGTCCTCCCAGTGTCCATCCATGCTCCGACCACGTTGTGGGTAGGTGAGTCTGTTCGAAATCTCATAGCGCTCTCTCAAAGGGTCAGTAGACGCCTTTCCAGCGCTCGCTAACTGGGACTAATCAGGGGCGCTTATGAGGCGCTTAAGTTCTCGCAGCCCATAACCCCTCAAAACCCATATATTCGGGCCTGTCCCGAGGGCTATGGGTTAAGAGGGTGTCGACTGTAGTAGATGCAGGGAGAGATGAATCTCGGCGGCGACGATAACCGGGCGATGAGGACATCAATGAACAGAACATTGCGAGGCGGAACAGGGCGGGTATGCCCATAACCGGACTACCGACGCGCATGTGGATATGGGGCACGTGATGTCACCAGTCAGGCGCTCATATCAACGCAGATCCACGCTCTTCAGCGAATGGCCCCTTACACACTGCTAGAGAGCGACTCAAGTACTCCCACAGAGGCTAAGATAACTGGAGTATTTTCTGTGCATATATATCTGCTCGAACATGCTTGAGTACCTCGCCTACGCGAACCTGCTCAGCTGAGGGAGCCCCCAGTGCGGGGTGGAAGAAGGTAGAAGCCAAGCTTTGGAGAGACGGAGATAAAGAGAGTCTGTAAACCCAGATCACCCAGACATCAGACAGCATGCACCTATCCTCATGTTTGTAATCATATTCTGAGGGAGACACCATGAAAGCGCTGACAATTTGCCGCATCGGCGGCACAGAGGGTTATGGAGTCGCAGTCAGAGGACATCATGGCTCTAAGATGACTTTCACCCGAGCCGCGATACTTCAGTAACTGCCAATATTGAGGTACCCAATTCAGGTCAACAGGGTCGAGGTGGCAGTCGCGTCGGTGGGGGTAGCGCAGAATCCAATCCAACATGTCATACATCACGAGACATACATATGGGTTTTCCTTTTCTCACTATAACTTTGCCGCATACGACGTAATACCGTGAACCTCATCAAAACTTAATGCCTCCACTCTGATGGAGCGATTGGTGCCTGCCTTGGTCCCTTAGACCGGTGAGACCTGGGGGCCTTGTGCCATCCCAGATTAGAGCGGTGAAGGAAGAGGAATTGGGAGGCACACCTATACATGGTCCAAGAGTCAAAACGAATAGTCACTAAGCGATCAGAGTTGGAGAGCAGACTCACCCCGAGAAGGCCGGCCACACGATCGCACGTCCAGGTCTGACCAAGGAGAGCGGGGCACCCTGAGCATTCGGCATCCGTAGTACAATTTATGATATCGCAAGCAGTCTGGCGAGCCTCGAGCTTCCCAGGAGCAGCGGCAGCGATGGCGGCTCCGGCGTTGATAGCACAGAGGGCGACGGCGAGGTTGACAATGGCAGCGGTGAAACGCATGTTGTAGGATCTACGAGGAGGGAAACAACTGTGAGCATCAAGGCTATGAGCAGAGAGTCGGATGCATGCTTACTCAGAGTGGTGTTCTTGTGTTGCTAGTGCTCAGCGAGGAATTGCTGCAGAATCCCTTGCCTTCCGCCCTCTTTTATATTCAAGGACAGAGTTGTTGTATGTCCCATAAATAGTCGTATCGCTGGGTGATAATGTGTATTGTGCATATGAAAAGACTAATACCTAATATGCTCGAGTTCGTGCTTCCAGTTGCATGATTGGACTTAGCATGGCAACACGCTGTCTATGACAGCATCGAAAGCGGTGTCCGATAGAACTCGCATAGGGCCGGAAGATCTTCGACGCTTCACCCGCCACCGACTACCCCGAACTGGTGTAGACTCCACACCCATTCCAGATAACGATAAGACAGTCGGTGAGTCACCAACCAGATATCTGACAGTCTCCTGTAATGCAGCTACTCTCTAAATACACGTAGGCACCTCATCGATGAGCTACATACCTCTTATGGTTTATCCCTATACCATCGCGACCTGAAAGCTACGATTGCTTTTCCAAAGATCGTCATGGAAAGGCTTTCGAAACGCATCATAAATAGAGTGAGCCGCTGTTACGGCAAACTTTCCGTTTCAATGTTGCACCGACTTGTCAATGATCAATACAAGCCATCTATCACTTTAGCTACTGTGGTACCTACAGATGTGTGGAGGCGAGTGCGCAGTCTTGCCGAATATGCCATTGGAAGACATCAGTCAAGCGTTTCGCAGCTGCCCATTTGAGACCAACCTACAATTTCGCGAATGCTGATCCTTGAGATTGCTGAATCATGGATCACCGTAATCGGCCTCTGGCTAAGCAATTGCTCAAGCTAGGAACCTCATGGAAATGAGTGCGGAAATCCACCGTGATGGGACGTAGAGCCGGTTAAAGGCGGCCAAATGATTGCTGTCTAGTAGGTACCAGTCTGCACTCGATGACAATGGGCTCACAACCTGATTGAATTAGGATGCAATGCGGCAAAGTCACGCTATTTCTACGCAGACCGCAGTCCAGGATCCCGTGAATTCATGGAATACTTCAGATATTCTGGATTAACTCTCGCTCGCGGTCTGCGTGAGTCAACGCTTACCTCCACAGGCGCAGCTAAGACCACTTAGGGGGGGTGCTGTCAAGTAACACTCACTGACCTGCACACCATCACTGCTGAAAAGAGGACTTTCGAGCAAAAGATAGTTGTACGGTCATCCAACGGTATTCATTCGGCTGTGCAAGGGCACCAGGGCTGGAATAAGAGGCTGGGATGCCATTCCGGAGCGGATGCCACGTACGCCCTTCAGTGGCCGAAGCGAAGAGAAACTCAGTGCCACATACCTGCACATGCACCCGACAAGATGCACCGACCCAGGCGGGGCCGAAATAAGGTTGTGTTACTAAACCACTGGAGCGCACGTTGGACGTATATGCCATTTACGGGGACCGGATGGATCAAGATCTATCACTCAACCTTCAACGGCGGCGATTGAGTGGCCTGTATTGAAGAAGAACGTGTCATAAGAGGGAAACAAGGGACCTAGAAGCCGGGTCGAACAAGGTCAGCTGGGCGCACGGTGCGGAACTAGTAAGGGGCAAATGTCAATCAGGTTCACAGAATGAGCGACGCCACTCACCCAGACGACCTCCATAAGCCATATTATCCGCGAGTTCGCTCAGGATGGCGCTCTGTGGGGCTCAAAGTATTGGAGTTGTGCGTCTCCAGAAAGACAGTTTCAAGGTACGCTGACATGACGGGAATTTGTAGACGCTGACCTTTTATCTCTGTTTCCACTCGCTGTCACTTTCCTGCCTTGAGCGGGTGACAATTGTTCACCTCGCGTCGCACATTCACGGGACTCCTTGCTGAGCACATGCTCCGTGTATCAAGCGCACGCGGGATTACTTCCTCCCTGTCTCCACCAGCGTGGTCCCAGCGCGCGATCCTGTAGGCCTAGTTTTAGGTCTAGTGCGGAATAGCCTACTCGTCCTCGACATTCGTATGAACAACTTTCTCCGAGCTGCGGCGTGCACGCACCGATTAAAACGGCCGCATGGCCTAACAGTACAGTACCCTAACGGCGCGGGCCCGTACTGCACACACGATCAATCCATCACGCGCAGCGCCCGACGTCAAACAGTGATAGTCCCGGAGACGAGTCTATGCTATTGCCAGACAGCACGATGCGGGTTTCGTCCTTCCTGAAATGATACAAGCGAAGTCAACTCACAAGATCGCCCCGGTGCCACGGCCCCTCGAAGGATCTATCTGTCGAGGCAGATGTCAACACAATCCGCGCAGGTTGCGACGGTACACCTCAGATGGAGTAGGTGCAGAGCCCTCAACAGACGTGAAGAGAACAGGTGCGCAGAAACAGATCGAGAACGTAGATGTTAGCAGAACGACGGGCATGACATGGACTGTCGCCAACTCTAGTGGAGAGCCTCGGACGCCTGCTACACATACCATACATACACCGGACGCACATGGGGAAGCGACTCGGCGCGTACCATGCACGACAAGCATGACATGTATGTGAAAGATAGCCGGATTGCCATGAGTCGTTCGATGCTGTAGGCACGGACGGGTTTTTGGTATACCACGGGGTACTTGATTTTTCGTGGCGGCTACGCTAGGCGTAAACCGGGTTGCTCCGGCTGGCCGCACCGGGCTCTCTGCCATCGCGAGGATCGCCGGGGTGGTCAATGTCGACTACGCCTCCTTCGCGAGGCGGTATCATGTACTCGAGTGCTAAGCAGTATTAGATTTGTACTGGTTCGGATACACCTAGCTTTTTGGCAAGTACGTCTAGAGGCCTTCTTGGAGGTCCATGTGGATGCTGCGGATTTCCGCCACCCACTCGCGATACATAACTGTGACGCATGAACGTGGCACAACGCGGAGAGCAGAACAGAGCTATTGGCACAAGGGACCAAACACGATCAATACTCTGTCAGAAGCCAACGAATTGGCGCGTAATGTTCAACTTCGCAGCAAGTCGACATCTGCACTTTCCACGTATCGAGTCGGAAGGCAGATGCCTGTCGCAGTTGGGATCACGACAGCGTCCCTATACCGGCGCTGGCGTTCAGCTGTTGCAACCAGCGGGTGAAGTCGGCGAATGTCTTCGGAATCTCGCTATCGTCCCGAGAGACCGAATCAAGCGGTGCGGCTCGGAGCCCTTGAGCCAATTCCTCGGGTAGGATAACAAGCTGTTGGGGAGGCGACGTTGCATGCGAGGCTGCACGCCCAGAGGGGCGAACAGGCCCAGAGAGACGAACGGTCTGAGACAGGGATCCAGCCTCGTTTGAGGCGCCCTCTATAGAAGTACGCGAAAAGGCGAAATGATTGCGGAAGAGTGAGTGCTGAGGTGCTAGCAAGACACTACAATGATATCCTCACCGAGCGTGGCCTCTTCCACCTTTGGAATAAGGAGCAGTGACGACGGATTCATCGCTGGTGTCAGGTGCCCCGTCGAGTCGCCGCTTGGATGATGCAGCGGTAACGACGGAAGCGGAGACTGACAGAGGGATGACGGCGAACCCTGTACAGATTGATAGTCGCTAGGGCCGGACGATGACCCTGAAGCGAGGATGTCGGGGGCAGCTAGTGCTAAACTCGGAGTATGTATATCAGCCGAAGGCCCTGCGACCCATTTCTGATGGAGTGGTGTAGATTATGTGGTCAGTCCTCAACCTTGCCGCTCCAAGTGCTCGCGTGACGTTACCTCATCTATCGAGCCTTGCCGACTGGAAGCTCGACGAAGGAACGCATATGTGAGTATGTGTTCGGGAAAGACATCGTCCCCTAGGCTCTCCGCCCAGATCTCCGCCATTTCAATGGAAGGGTCCGGGTCCTCTTTGAGCAGCACGTCCAACTTCGATACGACGGATATAGGATCTGCATTGTATACAAAGAGTAAGCAGGAGAGATAGTAGGACACGCGAGAGACGAACCGATATGGGGCATCGTGGACGGCGATTGGTACAGATCACCTGTGGAGACTGTTGAAACCATTCCTAAGAGCGCTCGGGTACATGAAAGACCGTTCGCACCCTTCCGTCGTTTGTGGCCACGTCCCATTGGCAGCTTGGCGCCTGGGTCCCTCATTTTCGACCTAGTATTCGAGAAATACTGTTTGACGTGATGGGCAGTGTAATGCTCGCAGCCAGGGATGTGCCTGACTTTCTCTGCAAGCGCTTTTTGTGCAGCGTCGTCCGGGCGCCGGGAGACATTGCAAAAGTAGTCTGCGCAACGTCCACGTCATGAAGTCAGCATCGAGTTCTCTTCCACACCCCATAGCCTGCGTGCGTAGGTGCAGACTCACCATTAAGGAGATTGTACGCCTCTGGTTGCAAGCGCTTCCATCTTTTTTTGTGAGCCTCCGATCGATCCATTGTGGGACTTTCAGAAGAGGAGCTGTGGGCGATTGCTGCGTCCTCTGCTGGCGTAGTGATGGCAAGCCATTGGAGGTGCGTCAGCGCTTCAGCGCTAATGCCTTGGTTACATAAGAATCCCTGAGTCGCGATCTGCGTGAAAAGCGTCGATCTTGGTGAAAGGGGAAGCCTCCCAGTAGGATTGAGAGAGACGTAAAACAAACCGTGGGACAATTGGAGTCGACAGACACCGCTCGAAAATGTGGGAAAGAGGCGTCACGCTTACATACGTCCTCTATGTCAGTATTACATACAGAAGCACGGCATGAAGGGAATGTTAGGCATGCGGATGGGGCTTCATGCATACGCTCGTTGTACGGGCTGAACATGAGCGACCTGAAAGAAACGCGAAGCAAGGCAGAGATCGTCATCTACGAAGCGCGCCTCATACACCATTCTCGGCACCTCGGCGCAGCCGTTCCACCAATCATCGCACAGCATATGATTACGTCATATTCAGAAGACGTATTGATGTGGCAGGCACATTTTGCGGCTGCGTCGTTTGCGCCCATCGTCTCCATCCCCGAACATTCCGGACTTGATAGCCACCCATACATAACCTTCGCCAAGCTCTCAATGGGCAGGCATCTCAAGAGCTCGTTGATCGAGCATGGCAGTGTCTTTGACCTTGAAGAGGTACCAGTCTCCCAGGATGCCCCCGCCGAAGAGCTTCAGTCGAGTACTAGCGCCTCTACTCCAAAGAAGACCTCGCGGCGCCTGCCTCAGGAGGCATATACAATCTTCAACGGTAGGCCATCGGTAGCATCAGTGTAATACCGTGAAACTCACCGGGATGATGGATAGACTACTTCTTCAGTGTCAATCGGAATCCCCGAAGGAACGAATGCGCTGTCCTCGCTGCAAGGGTACAGTACCTCCCGGGCTGCGAGATGCACACGGCGAAGCAGGTCCAGAAGTACTTTGAGAAGTTGCGCGCCAAGCATCGCGTGACGCTGGACGTCCAGGTGAAGCGCGAGCTCGTGGAGACGCCCTTGACACTGTCCCGTGAGCTCACAATCCGAGCACCTGCCAGATCGCTGCAGAAAGTGTTTTAACTGTATTTGAGTAGATAAAGTATGGTCGAGGGTGGGACCCCCTGCGGGCGATGTGCTCAGCGGTCGAGCGCAGGACCCGCCGTGCTCGACTGGCACTGGGCCTCAGGGCGCGGTACGTGTTCGTTCTGCACCGTATGTAAATGTGGTGAGTAGCCCTATTGACAGCGTTGTTCGATCCAGCAGGAAGCTCTTTCTGCTTCAATCTCACAAATCTCACTGCCTTCTTCGGGACCTGCTTGGGAGAAAATAGCTTCGAGCAGCTCCCCGTCTGCTGCTTCGCAGAACATTCTGCTCCTCTCGACACAAGCAGCACCTTCACACCAGAAGAGGAAACCGAACAAGAAAATCGCCCGTGGGGGCTACAATCTCATGGACGGCACGTCTACCACTCATACTCATTGCGAGACTGCGTGCTCATCAGGAGTTTATGCGCCAAATACCAGACTTCTTCACACACATCAGCAAAACTCCCAGTCGGCCTCAGCGGCTCGAGCTACTGGAGAAAGTACGGCATTCAGAAGGGTGTGAGCACTACACGCTCAAGAGCCTCACCGCCTACTTCTATCATCTGAGAACTCGGAAACATCGAGTTCCGCGTTCGGGTGCCGGTGCCAATGCGGAGGAACCAGACTCGGAGTTCCAGTCAAACAAGGGTGGGTATATGCGTCATGTTATTGCCATAATCGACGTAAAAGGCAATTATATATATATAACTGCTAACGCACATGTTCCTGTTCATCCAAGCCGCCCTCGTCAAACAAGAGCCTTACGACGACTCGCTTCTCGTCTCTCCCGTATCTCCCGACCAAGATGCACCTCTGCCTTCGCCCATCTTAGTCCTCTCTGACTTTGATGGTCCCGCACAGTCCTCAACGCATATATGGTCGGTCGCGCAACAATCACCATTGACGCACCAGTCGGCATCTGCAAGCATGCAGTCAACGCTCGTTCAACAACCTCCTTTGTTCCCATTGACAGGCCTGCCCCTACAATCTCCGCCACTCGTCCCATTCTCGTACACAATCCTTAACAGTCCTGTCGCCCAGGAAAAGTCGCCATTACCTGCTCCCCGCCCTGAGTTGCGCCAGCTACCTCCTGGTGCAGCGGAGGCTCCAGAGCCTGGATCTGCCGCCGCTGCCACCCAGGCGACCAATCACCCTTCAGAATCAGACGTTGCAGGAGACACTAGTACTGGTGTTCTGCCTCCGTCCCCCGAATCCGACTTGAGCCCCGAAACGAAGACGCAACCCAAATCATCTAGGACCTATCTGGCGCCTGAGGCTCACAAACTTCTCGAAGGTCATTTCCCACCTTCCCTCTATCGTGTTTCCCCACAAACCTGCGCTCATTGATACCGTCTCGATTTTATAGACTACTACGTCACCGTCAGCATGAACCCCAGCAAGGCAGAGAAAGCCGCCCTCGCCAGCCGGGTCTCCGCTGCTATCGCTGCTGGCGTGGCGTCGGCTCCGTCGCAAGTGGGGAGGGCTTGCGAAGGCGACCGTGCACCTGACATTCCTATGTCCCACAATCTGACCGGCGCTGTAACGGATGCCCAAATTGAAAACTGTGAGTAATATTACGCATATTTGTTTGCACGCGCTAGTTGTGTTGATACATTTACCGACGAACATCAGCCTCCGCCTTGGACGTCGTCTCTGTGTCTGGGTGTGCTATAGGGATGGAGCACCAGTCGCAGCAGTCATCTCCCGCCTCAGTCGAGAATCGAGAGTTCAGGTCTGCTATCGCTTCCGAACCAGGCGTTCCCGCCTCTGAGGAAGCCGGATCTTTGTCGATGGAGGAGGCAGCTGGTGCCCAGGGAAATACACCTGACATTTCGATGTCTCCGGACCCCCACACCTCCGCACGGGATGTTCAACTTGCAGATAGTGCGTCGTTTATGTACTACGGTTGCATGAGCAGTACTGAGACAGCGATGGGCTATTGTCATTCTTATCACTAAAAGTCGATCAAGGGTCTGGATTTGCGCCCGCTGAATCACATCATCAGCAGTCTGTTTTGGACGCTGTGCGGCCCCATCCACATGGGTCATTTCAAGCCGCGGGAAAGCATACGCGGGAGCTCGGTGTCACTGTCTCTGCTAGGGAGACGATCGATACAGCTCCAGGATCGGACGTGGAGAATGACAGCGCTGGTGCCGTACTTCCCGATACCGACCCAATCCCCGAGCAGAAGAAACCACGGAACCTCCCGCCCGAAGCTCATAATATCCTTGCCGGTCAGTTGTCACATCTTGTCAACTTGTGCACCCCGCACATCGTATTGATTGACTGTGTCACTCGTGTAGACTATTACGCTACCGTCGGCGTTAAGCCCAGCAAGGCCGATGAAGTGGTGCTTGCGAACCAGATCAACGCGATCCCGGGCTGCGAGAGTTTCTCAGCGAGGAACGTGCATCGGTGGTTCAGAGCAAACAAGTATTTCAAGAACGGGAGATGCGCGGTGCGGAAGGAGGACACCGCGAGCGGAGGACAGCGAAACGCGGAGCAAACTCTAGTGGGCGGGGTCAAGGTGGCAGTGGGTAAGTTGTCTTCATCTCGCGATCGAAGTTGTCCCATGTCATGTATGGAGCTGATGGGCTGGCGTCCTAGACTCTATTGCGTGCGAGGCGCAAGACGTTCCGGGTGGCACTGCGGAGGCTGCAATCCAGGACGAAGCGGGGCAAGACTCGGGCAAGCCTGACGTTCCAATGTTGTTGAACCCAGACGCAGCGGTCCTGGCAGTTCGTGAAGAAGAGTCTGTCATTCCTCTGTTTGACTCGACTTATGCTTCAATGAAGGACTCGATAAGCGGTATGCGCAATTCCCTGTTTGACAGTGAGCATCTTGTTCATCGATGTATGTTCATATAGCTGGAGCGATGGAACCGGACACTTCGCCCGCAGTCGACTATGATGCGAACACAATCCTCCAACTTGCGACGCAATTGCAGGGCGTGTTTGCGAGGTCGCCGGAGTTACATGAAGACCAACCTGTTACCTTCGCCAGATTTGCTGCCTGGCTCGAGACACGGAACATCGGGCTCTGCACATAGAGTCGGTGCACCCCGATCAGGACAGGACGCTTTCCACTCTCTTCAGATTTCCGACTTCGCTTTTTACAATACCATCAGTTATAATCTATAGCTATGTATATATTTGATACCCCTCCTCGCATGTCCTTCAGCAGATGAGCAGCCAATGTGAGGACTGCCACACGACGGGCAGCGCTCAGAATCCCTCCGCATGAAACGGAGGTCTGTTTTCGAGACAGTCCTAACTTGTCCCTTTGCCGACGTGCGCTAAAGAATGCTGAAGGGTTGTCCACCGCGTTTTACACCCTCCTGGTACAGGGGCGAGTGCTTGCAAATAAGTGTGTATTCGCAGAGTGGTCGGAGTAGTAGCTGATGAGAAAGTTGCGCTCTGACCAAATCATGATACCTGTAAATAGATAGCTTTGGGTTAAAAGGTTGGGGTTGAACTAGATCATCTAATTAAGATGTTGATAGCTCTCCGGGTTGAGGTTCGAGTAGATGCGCCCCTCTAGGGGTCATATAGGTCTCGTGTTTGAGGCTTGAACATATGATTGGCTCGAGGCTTGATATATATGACATGGTCTTGTCTACTACAGATGTAAGCTCACGAGCCAGTCTTGTATGGAATAATATAGAAGGTTATGGGTATTATGGGCTATATCGGGTACAAACAGCGCCAAAGAACGCGCTCGCGGGCCAGCACGCCACCGCGCATCGCGTTGCGCGCACTCAGCCGCCCACCGCTCGCCACCGCCTG